AGCACTATGTAGCTCCAAAATATGCCTAAGATCAATGGAGCAAACTTTATTCACATATGATCGAGAGTTGGAAGTGAATGAAGGGTCAAATACTGACCGGACGCTGGCTTCGGTTTGACCGAGACGCTAGCGCAGAGTCCGGTCAGTTCATTTGATCAAGGTGAAATCGTCTGGCACGACCGGACGTTGAGAGGTGAAGTGACCGGACGCTGAGGGCCAACGTCCGATCGACTCCAGTAAGGTTCTAGAGAGGGAAAATCACAACCGGACGCGTCCGGTCACACTTTAAACACTGGAGTTCGGGGTGAACTGATCGGAGCATCCGATCAACATGACCGAAGCATCCGGTCACCCCGTAGAGGCACATAACGGTTCGTTTTCAGCCGCTGTTATAAATACCACCTCCATTCGTGTGTGGGGGTACTTTTGCTCATTCCAACAGCTGAGAAACACATTTGAGAGTGCCAAAAAGAGCGAGGTCCTAGTGAGGTGATTGAATTTTGAGAATCCCAAAGAGAGCCCTCATTAGTGAGATCAAGAGTAGCAAAGTGTGCATCCACCCTTCTCATTAGGCTTGTCGTGGTCAAGTGAGAGTTCGTGCTTGTTACTCTTGGTGATTGCCGTCACCTAAACGGCTTGGTGGTGATTGGGAGCTTGGTGATCATCCGGAAAGCTTGTTGATGACCCAACTCAAGTTGTGAGCGATTATGGGTGATTCACCGTGACGAAGTGTTAAAGAATCAACCCGTAGAGAGCACTTGATCCTTACGCGGATCAAGAGGGAGCTACACCCTTACGCGGGTGCTCCAACGAGGACTAGTGGGGAGTGGCGACTCTCCGATACCTCGGTAAAACATCGCCGCATTCCTCCTTCTCTCTTTACTTTGAGTATTTAGTTTGAGCAATTCAATTTTTGTCATTTATATTCTTAGAATTGCCATGCTAGAGTAGGATTGGAACATAGGTTGTAAGTCTTTTGTGCGGTAGAACAATTAGAAACATTTTCTAGGCACAAGGGGTTAATTGGGCTAACCGTAAGATTTAATTATTGTAAATAAATTTAGAATTAGCCCAATTCACCCCCCTCTTGAGCATCTTGATCCTTTGAACTCCCTTCATTTCAAATTATAAGTCATTCCAAGAATCTTGGAGAGTCAACGCATCTTAAGTTTCACCAAAATTATAGAAAGAATCATAAAGATTTGTGACATCAAATAAATATACTATAAAAATATAATTAATGAAGAATCTATTGGTACTTAGTTGGCATCATAAATGTTATTATCTTTTCATATAAATTTGATCAAACTTAAGATGCTTTGACTCTCCAAGATTGTTAGAATGACTTATAATTTGGGATTGATGGAGTAGTACTTTAGGAGATGTTTAAACAAGTTTTGAGCACATTGTAGCAATATCAGATGTCCTATCCAATCTCTTCTTCCTAAAAAGTAGTATTTTTAAGAGATGGAGGTGTTACGGTAAATTTCTTACTAATCTTCTATATCTATAATTTTTAAGAGATCTTTTTAAAAAAGGATCATTTCTCCTAAATAAAAAGAGATACCTCTTCTCCCCTATCTCAAAAAAAAATATAGGGACAAGTTTTAGGTAATCTACTAAAATAATGCTTTTTTATATCATAAATTGATTTTAAGACACACTACTAATAAAACAACTTATATGAGCTATAATATAAGAGATCTAGTGGAGATGCTCTTCAATAATATTTCTTAAACCCACTCTCTAAATCCTTATTTGGAGTTCGTTACATCTCTCTACCCTCCAACAACTTCTCGATATCTTGCTCGATATCTTGCTCGTCACTCTGGAGAGCTAGGTCTGCTCTTTGCCTTTGGCGAGTGAGAAACCAAGAATAGAGGATGGTGAGAAATCAGGGATAAAAGATGAAAATATTTACACACCTAGTTAAAGAAATTGCTGGGGAGGTTTTTTTCTCAAAATGTCTCTATTCCTATAAGTGTAGAAAGATACTAAGAGTATTTTGGAGTTGCTCATCGGAAAAAAATATAGACTGTTGCTGTATTTATGTATTATTAACCGAAACCATTTTCTACTGGAATGGTATAAAACTTCCTGAGAAAAATAGGCTTGCAAATTCAATAATGATTCTCCACGGGCGTCCGTCTCGTGACTCCAGTCCGGACGAGGCTTGATCTGCGACCGGCTCTCATCTCTCTTAAAAAACCCACTTCGCTCATCCTCCAGCCCCTACCATCACCGCGGCTTCCGTTCCATCGGACACAACGCGCCTTTGCCCGAGCAGCGCCCCGGCTACGCCACACTCCATCCCTCGCCGCGCCACCATTCATTGTCGCGCCCCACTCTGAGTTTCGAGCGGCGAGATCCGAGCACCCCCATCCTTCTCCGGCGCTAGCTCGTACAAGACTCGCGGCCTCCCCCCTCTATCTCCACACCGATGAGCCTCCATTCGCCAAAATAGGAAGAAGATGTTGCACTAAAAGTGTCGGTGTTTCGAGTTGCCACCGGCTAGTAAATTTCTAATATTGCGCGTCTGGCTTGGATTGTGTGCTAAGAGGACACGAGGTTTATACTGGTTCGGACATAATGTCCCTACGTCCAGTTGTTGCTGCTGCTTGTGTTACTAGCACTGAAAGTTCATAGTAGGGGTTACAAATGGTCGAGAGAGGGACAAGTCCCAAGTCTCTGGTTAGAGAAGCGAACGAGTATCGAGGGCTCGGTCGCTTTCCGGCTGTGTGTTTGTGTGTTCTGATAGGTTCGGGGTTCGAGTTTGAATGAGTGTGATGTGTTACGATGCGATCGATCCGATGCCCCTTGTGAGACGCCTTGTTTTTCCCTTTTATAGGCCAAGGGAAAGCAAGGGTTACAGTGGAGGAAGAAAAGAGAACGAGAGGAAGAAGTCCTTTAGGATCACCGGGTCCTTCTTCTCCTCTATACGGGTCCCGCTGACCTTATAGACGTTAACAGGACAGCTTCTCATCGTGGCCCTGTCCGTCACTGACGCCATGTGCAGGCGTCGTCTGCTGGTCATGGCGCTCCACTCCGTACTGACGGACATCGTGGTGAACTGACGCGCTCATCAGTGTTCGTACGGGGGTTAGACAGAACAACACATGTACTCTCGACGTTGTTCCTGACGTGAACCCCCAGACATGGCCTGTCATGGGTCGTGGGCTACATCGAGGCGTGTCAGTCTCTTCCCTGACTTCAGAGTTTTGACCCAGACCCATACGCTTGGACCTGGAGCATGTAATGTAATGTTGTCTTCTACCGGGCAAGGGATAATTAATTAACAGACACTTACTGAAAAGGTATGTAATGTATTGTTACTGTATTTATTACTACAATTCAATTCACCTGTTCTGCCCATCTACTTTTCAGCCGGCTTGTGCTTATTTCGACTTATTCTCTCTCACAGAAACACTATTGATTCAGCCGAAATCAGCTGAAATACCACCAGCAGAACAGGCGAATCACAGTAGTATTTTCTTCTGCTAACTTTCCAATGCAACTCACTGCGCTCGTTAGTTAGAGCATGTTCGGCAGGCCGTAAACGATCGTGGATTATAAGCTGGAACGCTATTTTTTTCTCTCACCAAACCAGCCAAACCAACCAACAGTAAATAATCCACGATCCAGCTCAACCGAACAGGCTGTTACTCCTATCATACGTACATTAGTTTTTCATGGGAGGATCTTATTTAGTTGCCCATGCCTTGTTTCATGCAGGATCAATGTTTAGTGCTATCAGGTCCGAGCCGTAGTGGACCCTGTGACGATCGAGGTTGACTTGAAAGTGAAGGGCGCTATCGAATCCAAGGATAAAGACTTGAGCTTGCTAGCAGTGCCATTGACATACTCTGGTGGGTCTGGTTCATGCCCGTTTGAGTACACTACCAAGCACTGCACACTGGAGTTTATGATCGGAGAAATAGTTTCATCTGTGGAGGCCACAATATTTATTCGAGTCATCGATGGGTCATGGCCAGATGGTTTTCATGGTCAATTTGCTGCTCATACCACCAGTGTTGATCACGAGAAAGTCATCCTTCTTGAATTTGGACATGACAACGTGGTGCCAGTTAGCGCTAATGGCGTTATGAAGCTTTCTCGTCATGTTGTTTCTGTCGAAGTTAGTGGAACGCTCAAAGTTTCTTCCAGGGCATGGCAAGATGGCTGCAAGGCTGTGGTCGCGTTCACGGCTGCTAAAGTCGGTAGAAGTTATCGTGCCCTTCACTTTGGTTCATGTAAAATGGAAGTCCTTGTTGCTTGGTCTCTTATTTCACCGGAGCCTGAACCTGACGATTATTGATGTAATTGTCTTGTGACGTACTTTTTCAGCGAAGAAATAATATCTTTCTCTCACAACAAATTAGCGAACATTACTCGCTTATCTTTTTAGCGAAGCGAACAGGGTGCCAATTAAAGGTCTAGAATCGTTACCATAGCTGTTGCTTCTGAAATGGTATTTTATACTACTGAAAAAAATCATATTGTTTCATACTATGCCTTTTTTAAGGTAAAATAAAATATTTTTTGTTTTTGCTCTCCTATTTCAGCACGCCTTTCTTTTTTTACTCGAAGCCGAATGAAATCTCATCCCAATAATCTAGAACACTAATTACACTGCTCTAACAACCCCAGCGTCGTCATCAGCCGTCGAAATCTCGCATTTGCTCTTCCACTCTCAACACGCGAAAAGCAAAACACCAGACGCAGTCAGTGAAATATTTAAACCTTTTTCGCGATTCTGAAGCGCTCTTATATTTATTTAACACCCCTTTTCCCACTTCCTTCATTCTAGCTCGCTGACACCAGAGCAGAGAGAGAGAGAGAGAAGCAGCACCGCAAGCATACAAAAAGAGTGGAACGAAAAAGGAGACATTTTTTTTGGCATATAAAAGTTGGTCTGGTTTCTTGGAGCCTGCAGAGGAGTGGTGCAGCGGTGAAGGGGCAGTAGCAGGAGGAGGGCATAGGAGGGGAGAGGAGCCGCAGACATGGCTGGGGCGGCCATTGGCGTCGTGGCGCTGTTCTTGGCTGCAGCTTCATTTGGGGTTAATGCCAACACGGACTCGAATGATGGTGAGTGTGTTCTGCTCCTTTTAGTAGTTTTCTTCTTCTTCTTCTCTCAATGCACTCTTGGCTTCCGCGCATCAAGAAACGATGCATTTCGTCATGGTTTAGTTTGGTTTTCTCAGCCATAAATGGATGCGAAAGGCTCCTTCTTGTCTGTACCCCCCCCTGCTCTGGTCAGTCCATTGAGTCCGAAGAACAAGAAGTACGGGTTCTGAAATTTCGGGTTGGCATATATGACTGGTTTCGTGAAATTTCGGTTCATGTACAGGCTTGCTGTCCACAACTCCATAGGAAATTTTCTTGTTGAATCAGTGAAGTTGACCAAGGGAATGCTATCCCTTCATTTTGCTACTTGCGAATGCGAACATCTTAGTTCTTTTAAGAAAAATGATGTAGAACAGCAAAATATGACTGAAATCTACCGTGTTACCTGAAACATCAATCCTCCGTTGTTACTGATTTGTTCCGAATCTTGTTCTTGCATATGCAGTGAATCCTCTCAATGTCTTCTACACAACCATGAATTCGCCACCGCAGCTGACGAACTGGGTGTCCCAAAATGGGGATCCCTGTGGGCAGTCGTGGCTGGGGGTCACCTGCTCGGGTTCCAGAGTGACAGCAATGTGAGCTAGCTGAAACCTTCAGAAGGTTTTGGTTGTTTTTGCGTCACGGCAACCGATCCTTCTCGACTGATTTTCCTTTTTTCCTGAATAATGCTCGACAGAAACTTATCTGGGATGCGGCTTAACGGCACCTTGGGTTACAACATGAACCAGCTGACTGCACTAGTTCAGCTGTAAGTGAGATCTCTCATAATCTTAAAATCTCAATGCTCGGATGCTTTACAGACCACATGTCATTTTTCGGTTAATCTAACTTTGGTGTTCTGCAGGGATATGAGCAACAATAATCTTGGAGGCAGTGACATTCCTTATAATCTTCCTCCGAATCTCCAGAACCTGTGAGTCATGTTTGATGTGTACCATGATTCCTATTTGGCTATTTATGTTTTAAAAAATATTTTTTAGGTCTTACATAGAACTACTTGGCATGCAGAAATCTTGCAGTAAATAACTTCACTGGGACAGTACCTTACTCCATCTCCCAGATGGTTGCACTTAGGAATTTGTAAGTTGACTATTGGGATTTGTGCTAAGCTGTTTTCTTCGAGCACTTTGACAAGATTTGGCCAAATTATATCTTTCACTCTCCTTGCTGTAGAAATCTTGGTCATAATCAGCTCTCGAACATCAATGATATGTTTAGTCAGCTCACAAATTTAACAACGCTGTGAGTGATTTTCCTTTCTTCCTGACTGTTTATGCATGCTGTTGTCTTCATCGCTCCACAATCCACAGTTGTAAACATGAACCACCTGTTCAATTTCCAGGGATCTGTCATACAACACATTTTCTGGTAATATTCCACAAAGCTTTAACTCCTTGACAAGTTTGAAAACACTGTGAGTACTCCAAATGTTCTGTTCAACTTCAGCAATTGGAAAAAGAAAAACACCACATGGTTCTCTACTTACAAATCCAATCTCCTCTCTTGTCAGTTACCTTCAGAACAACAAATTTAGTGGCACAATAGATGTTCTCACCAATCTTCCTCTTACTGACTTGTAAGTTGACATGCTTACCACCTACTCCAATTACAACTTTAATTTCTTAATGCAACATATAACAATCCTTGCAGAAATGTTGAAAACAACCAATTCACCGGTTGGGTACCTGATAAACTTAAGGGAATCAATAATCTCCAGTAAGTACCGTTACTGCAACTGTTGCGGTGATTGCTATTTAAGTATATCGGATGGATACAACAATCTAGTCATCATTTTACAGGACAAGTGGAAACTCGTTTAACAATGGCCCCGCTCCACCACCTCCACCACCTCCACCACCTCCACCACCATCACTATCACCACTATCACCACTATCACCACCATCAACAAATACCCCTCCTCCCTCTCAGCGACCTGCTGTTCCAAGTAGTGCTGGTAAAGATACCCCAGCCAAAGATGGTGGCAAACACTCGAAACTTGGTGGTGGTGCAGTAGCAGGAATCGTAATATGTTTGCTCATTGTTGGGGCAATAGTTGCATTCCTTGTGATCAAAAGGAAATCTTGGAGGTTATCACAGGGACAAGACCCTGAACAAAATGAACATCTGAGCCCTCTTGCTTCTGGACTTAAACGTAAGTCTTACGATAGTTGTGTTTTCATCTTATTGCTGCTGTTCTGGTAGGAACCACAAGCTGATATCTTTACAGATTAATTGTGCAATTTTTCCCTTCTGTATTCTTTTTCTTGTGGAAGATGATTACATAATGTGTTATCCTTGTGCCTAAAATCATGCTATTCAGATATGAAATCGATCAAATCTATCAAAATCATATCAACAATTGGCAAAGAAGAATTGCAGAAGACTGTTTCGATGAGTTTGAAGCCTCCAACAAAAATTGACCTGCACAAGTCCTTTGATGAAAATGATACCACTAACAAGTCCATCTCAAGGAAAGTAAGTTTGTCTTCCATCACAATACCTGCATACACAGTGGCAGACCTTCAGGTGGCAACAGGCAGCTTCAGTCCTGACAGTCTTATCGGCGAGGGATCATTAGGCCGTGTTTACAAAGCAAAATTCGGTGATCAGAAGGTATATCGCTAATTCTTACATGTTCAGACCAATTATTAGGCTATTATATCTTGATTATATGCTTCATTTCAGTTTCATGATTTTCAAATTATGATCCAAACTATTGCGATATCATCACTTTCTGGATGGTAAATTTCAGGTCATGGCTGTAAAGAAAATAAACTTTTCTGCATTCCCAAGCCATCCTTCAGATTTGTTTGTTGAGTTGGTTGCAACCATTTCAAGGCTAAACCATCCAAACCTTGCTGAGCTTGCTGGTTACTGCTCAGAGCATGGACAATGCTTGCTGGTATATGAATTCTACAGAAACGGTTCTCTCCATGACTTCCTTCATCTGAAAGATGAACGCAGCAAGCCATTGTCTTGGAACAACCGTGTCAAGATTGCGCTTGGATCTGCAAGGGCATTAGAGTAAGTGGTGCAGGCTTGTCATTGTCAGCCCCCTTTTTTAGAACTGACAAGTTATGATAATCATACGAACTTTTCAGGTACCTACATGAGACTTGTTCACCCTCTGTGGTCCACAAGAATTTCAAGTCACACAACATTTTATTGGATGGTGAGCTGAACCCCCACCTCTCTGATTCTGGGTTTGCAGGCCTTCTTTCAAATCAGGAATTCCAGGTGATTTTAATACATCTGCGATTGACTTTTGTGCAGAAGAAATTCTTTACATTATTATTTTCTTTGTGGAAGTACCTAGTGTTTTTAATGATATATAATTATATATGAAGTTCATAGTATTCAATTACAAAATGCTACACCAAGTCATCAAGAAGTAAAGTTCAAGCATAGATTATCATTACAGTAACAGAACTGAAGAGATTCAGGATCTTTATGGCCAGCACAATAGTTCTGCATACCTCTGCAAGCTAAGTGTTGATCAACAAGCTACAGGATATCAAGTTTAGCTCAATGTAACTTTATAACGCGAGTGCTAATTTAACGAATGTTAGTGCTAAGCTTTCTGTACAAGAGTATTAAATATATAAGCAACAATTTCAGGAATCAAGTGAGAACTCAGGATACAGGGCTCCTGAAGTGACCTTGTCTGGTCAGTACTCCCTGAAGAGCGACGTGTACAGCTTTGGAGTTGTCATGCTAGAGCTTCTGACTGGCCGGAAACCATTTGACAGGTGAACACAGATTAATCCGCTGCAGCACACCATCTTTTTCTCTCACACATTTGTTCTGAACTGCGCTCAAAACATTTGTTCTGAAGTACCACAAGAACAATCTGAGACAACTAATTGTAGTTGTAGCGACACATGTAGTCATTACTTGCTCTCTGAACTTTGCAGGTCCCGACCGCGGGCCGAGCAGTCACTGGTCCGATGGGCTACTCCACAGCTGCACGACATCGACGCGCTGGACCAGATGGTCGACCCTGGGCTGCAAGGGCTGTACCCGTCCAAATCCCTCTCCCGCTTCGCCGACGCCATCGTGCTATGTGTTCAGGTGAAAAATTATCTTCAGTCCATCCAGCTCTCACTGCCCCCATATGTGAGCGACAATTCTGACACTGCTGAAATGCTGACGCTGCTTCCTGGAACCTGCAGCCCGAGCCGGAGTTTCGGCCGCCGATGTCGGAGGTCGTGCAGTCGCTGGTGCGCCTGGTGCAGAGGGCGAACATGACGAGGATGCACGAGAGCCAGTCGCGGCGCCACGGCGAATCCGGCGGGGACTACGAGTTTTAAGCGAGACGGAGCTGTGAATACACAAATATTTTATGAAAACTGGATGTATTCAGAGAGCTTTCTTTGCCGTGCTCAGCGGCTGTGTAAATCTGTGTCGTTTCAAGACGCACTTTGCCGCGCTACCGTGTCGATCGCAGCTATCCGGACCCAATCTTGGCTACCATCATGCGATGAATTGGAGAGAAGTACGCACTGGACAGTGACAGTGCTTGACCTGAAACGGTGTGCGTTCTCCTCTCCCCTGTGACAGTGCCTGTCTGCCCAACCTAAAATGCAGCCCTTCACCGTGTTCAACCAGCGTCGCCCCTGCCGAGCCGACGCAGGATTTGGTGGCTTCTTGCATAGCTTGGTATCAGTGCATTGCGATGCAAGGTTCTGATCTCCATGTTGAATTGTTGGCAATGCTCTCAAGAGTTGAACAACATCAAATGCTGTCTATTTAACAGATTTCCAGCACCTGGACGCATCGTGCCATCAGTTGCTAAATTTATCATTTGAAAGCACCATTGCAATTCCAGGTTAAAAAAGAAATAACGTATATTTAGGACTTCATTAACAAGTTAGTCAATCCTGCATTGACTGACTTTTCGAGGAAGATGTGCTTGGATATGATTAGCAGCCTCCATCATCCCCGTATGAAAAGCCTAAGTATTCAAGAAACCATTTTTTAAAGCTCAAAAGTTATATGAGGTTTTGCATTTTCCCAAATTTTTTTTTTTTTTTGAAAGAAGTCCTCTGAAACTTAGTTGATATCATGGACAAACAGCCATCTCGATGACAGTTTAATCATCCGGCACTTGCAGTTCTCACAGTTTCATCAATGGACCAAGACGACAAAGATAAGGAGGCAACGATTGAGTTTACTGAGAGCAGAAAATGCGATCCAAATCAGTTCAAAATGAAGAAAAAAATCTACAAGAGGTGAAAAATAGATTTCATAATTGGACAGTAGAACTCAGCAACCAAGCATGGACTATAGTTTGGTCTGTCATATTACACTTGCGATGCATGACATCTCCTTAAAAAAAAAAAAAAAGTACAGCAGGAGAGGCCCCCGCTGTCAGCTTTTGCATGACATTTCCTCATTGGCTATGCCAAATCAAAGTACAAAACACGAAGTTATAGGGAGAAACAAGCAAGCAGGTATATTCAAATCTATCCAATAAATCTGAAATAGAAAAATTACAAGGAAATCAGACTTGTCAATTTGAATTACTGAAATGTAAAAATCCTTTTGTGCCATTTAATTGTAAAAAAAACGCGCTAGCAGCCATTGAAACCTTACCCCACCCACCCACCTGGCTATTCATTCCAAGCAACATGAATTCAACCCATGATTCAAGGAAGATTTTAGATAGGAGAGGGAAAACATCAACTCTATCCTCTGATTTATATATTAATGCCTATAATATGATACTCTGCACAGGTGTGAAATGAGGATCCCCTGCACCACCATTTTCTTGTAAAAACTGGAGATTAGTATCTATTCGACCAGGTAATTCAGGTTTCCCATCTTCTACCCTTTCGCGATGCTGCACAGTACTTTACAGCATCTGCGCTATATCCAACATTATGGACCCTTACTATGTTAGCACCATTTATAATCCCATCTGCCACAGCTATAGCAGTGACAACGTCTCTCTCAACTGGATCGGTACGGTTGCATATTTCACCCAAAAAACTTTTCCTCGAGGGTCCCAGTAATATTGGCACATGTGAAGCACCTATACTCATTTTATCAATCTCCCTCCTAATGGATTCCAAGCCCTTAATTATTTCAAGGTTATGGCCGGTTTTCTTGGAGAAACCAATGCCAGGATCAATGACTATCCTCCACAGTGGAACTCCAGATAGATCTGCTTCTCTCAACTTTGTATATAGCTCAGAAGCAACTTCCTTGCAGACGTCACCATACTGTAAATTCTTTTCACTTTGCATAGTCGATGGATCTCCCCTCATGTGCATTATAACATATGGAACACCTAGTTCAGCTGCAACTTTAAGAATTATCGGGTCAAGCTGTCCACCGGATACATCGTTGATCACGTGAACTCCTCTTTTCACATCTTCAACGGCTACTTCTGCATAGAATGTATCTATTGAGAGCAACCTTCCCTTCTTTTGTTTGGCGGACTCCAGTGTTTGGAGGCTCCCACATGAGTGGGGCCTGAGAAAGGAAAAACCAAGGCAAGCCTTTCCCCGTAAAATCTGTGGAGAGGCGGCTTTGAACCCGCGACTTGATGACTTGGTGCCAGCAACCTCCCCTCCATCTCAGGAATTTTTGTGACCTCATCCAGAACACGAACCAACCTGTTGGTGCGAAAAATGACCAACAAGTAAATATTTATCGTTTTACCGTACGTTGTGATCGGATGTGGCCTAGCACTCAATGACATAGGGTTTATACTGGTTCAGGCAACGTGCCCTACGTCCAGTTTGAGTCGGTCGGAGACTTTATTCCTGAGTCGTGCTCAAGTTTGTTGTGGAGACTTTAGAATTCGAAGCCGAGTCGACGAAGTTGAGGTGCTTCTCTTCTTCTTCCTCCAAGTTTCCTCCTCATGGAGTTAGCCGGGCTCCATGTAAATCATGGCGAATGGAGTGTTAGAACTCGAATGATGAACGAGATCGGATCATGAGCGACGCCAACGACGTGGTGACTACGGCGAGTGCGCGAACAGATGCAAAACTCAGAGGAAACTATGAAGATTGGACGTTGCCAGCAACCGCAGCTTATTTTGCTCTTTGTTCCTTATATTTATAGGTATACTCGAGGTTTACAGACTCCAAACCCCCCACACCACATTGCGCAAAGATCGCAACGCCGTTTCGCTACGGCGTGCGCTACGCGCGCTCTGAACAATGTGGCGTGAACCTGACGGACTCCACGGTCGAGTCATGGTCGTGCACGCCTACGACCATGCTCTCCCCTACCTGACCTGCCTAGACTCCTTTAGGACTACGATTACATGAACGCCGTGCATCAATTTAACTAACAAAACACCCCCTAAACTTGATGCCACTCGAGGACACCTAAAGCACTCCTCAACTCCACGAACTTGACTTGCCCCAGCGATTTGGTGAAGAGATCGGCTAGCTGTTCTGCAGTCCCAACATGATCAACTTCCACCTTGCCTTCTTCTATGCATTCACGAAGAAAATGATACCTTGTATCAATATGTTTGCTACGATCGTGATGCACTGGATTCTTGCTGAGCGCGATCGCGGACATATTATCCATGAGAAGCTTCACTGTCATCTCCTTAGTCCCCAACATGTCTGCAATCAGTCGGTTTAGCCAAATGCCCTGACACGCCGCCGCTGCTGCTGCCACGTACTCAACTTCACACGAAGACAAAGCAACAATTCTTTGTTTCTGTGATGCCCAGGTCACCAAACTGCTCCCCAGAAAGTAGCCAATACCCGTTGTGCTCTTTCCGTCTTCTGGATCTCCTGCATAGTCGCTATCGCTATAGCCAACTAGGATCGGTTTTAGTTCAGCACCTCTCTCATATTTGCAGCCATATCCCATAGTACCCTTCAGGTACCTTAGGATGTGTTTCACTGCAGCCCAATGTTCTTTCCGGGTGCCTCCATGTATCTCGCTTATAACACCAACAAAGAAAAGCTAAGTCCGGCTGGTGTTGACAATGTACCTGAGGCTCCCTATGATGCTTCTATACTCTGTTGGATTTATTGGATCTCCACTCTTCAGCTTGCTAAGTTTCAGTCGACATTCCATTGGTGTTTCACATGAGTTACAGTTCCTCATCCCTGCACCTTCTAGAATCTTTGTAGCATAGGAACTTTGACACAATGTAATCCCATTGCCATCTTGCTTGACCTCTATGCCAAGGTAATAGCTCAAGAACCCCAAATCACTCATGCTAAACTTCTTTTTCATCTCAGACTTAAACATCTTGATGTCTTGCACATCTGGTCCAGAGATGATCAAATCGTCGACATATACTCCCACAAGTAAGAATGAACTTTTGCTGCTTCTCCTGTAAACAGCATGATCAAGCTTGCTTCTCACAAAACCTAGAGCCAACAACTCCTTATCGAGTTTTGCATTCCACGCCCTCGGTGCTTGCTTCAACCCGTAAAGAGCCTTTCTCAATCTGAGGACCTTGTCTCCTTTGCAGACCACAAAACCTAGAGGTTGTTGCACGTATACGGTCTCAGACAGATCACCATTCAAAAATGCAGATTTGACGTCCATATGGTGAACTTCCCAACCACCTTGTGCTGCAAGTGCTAACAGAACTCGTACGGTTTCAATCCTAGCAACCGGAGCATACACCTCATCGAAATCGACTCCAAACTGTTGAGGATATCCTTTAGCCACCAGACGAGCTTTATGCTTGATCACATTCCCTTCCGGGTCCTTTTTGACCTTGAAAACCCACTTCAGGCCGATGGCCTTGTGTTTTGGTGGCAACACACTGACTTCCCAGGTGCGATTTGCTTCTATGGCTTGCATCTCGGCCTGCATGGCCTGCCTCCAACACTGCTCGGTTAATGCTTCTAGGACTAATCTTGGTTCCTCAGCCGCAACAAGACAAAGACCGCTATACTCAAAATCCTGCACTTCTTCAGTAGTATCAAGCAAATTTGGGATTGTACGGTAACGCAGTGGGGCACCTTCTAAATCTGCAGACTGCCCGGTGGACGGTGTTGCCCATTGGGTCATCGGCACTCCTGGGATTGAGTTGAAGTTGGGAGTGTGTGGAGGTGAGTTTGATCCACCCCAGACTGTGGAATTGACGCTGACACAGCAGGCGATCCGGGATCACCGGCATCAGGTTTAGGTTTAGAAAATTCAGGCTCCGTGAGCCCTGTTGTCGAACCAGCTACTGTGTCATCCCACTGAACCTGAAAGATGTCAGGCGCTTCTGTTGCTGTTGCACCTCCGATCACCCTGCTGTCCTTCCCTTCCCAATTCCACGGCTTCTCGTCAAACACTACATCCCGAGTCACCAATAATTTGTCCTTCACCGGAT